CGCATATCGAGGCCGGGTATAACAGTCATGCGAGTTCAAGATTTTCGATCCCATTTCACGAAATAATTCGCGCGGCTATACGGAGACCCGGTCAGCCACAATGATGCCTTACACGTATGCCCTTCGAGTCGCTTTTCTTTCATACCTCTGGCAGCCACGGATGCGCAGACCGCAAAGCATCCCTCCCAAAGCCACACGTCAACAGATCGTCGACCACGTTTCATGATCTTATGAAGGACTTCAGCCTGGTTAGGGATTCGAAAAGCACGAGGTTCCCACATGGCTTTATTGCAGAGCTGGAAAAACGGTTGACGGGCGTTTTGATCGGGCGTGAGCGAAGGAAAGAGTACCAAGATGGAGTAGTGAAGCGGACTTTTGCGGTATTCCTTAATGCGTTGAAAGAACAGAGCTTCAAGAAGCGAATGGAAAAGGATAGGCGAGTGGAAGATCTTGTGTTGATATTCTTCTCCAATGCTACCAAAGAACTCTCAAAGGGAAAATCTCCGGAAGACAACAGCTGGAAGCTGATGGTCGATCGCCATGTTGCGCTCTTTGTCAGGCTGATCACACTCATACTGAAGGACCACGATTGGTTACGAGAAAAGCCTGAGTTGGCAGCGAGATTGTCAACGCTTGAAACTAAACTGCTCGCTCATGATCAAGACTTGGCCGAGGCAGCCCAACCAGATGGGGCGGGAGTGCCCACTGAGCTGGTTCCTTTGAGCTACGATGTCAAGGATATGCCCTTGGTACAAGTGGTTGCAAAGATCTTTGACTTGAGAGAATCCCAAGTCCAGTCCGATATCAATAAAAACAAAGATACTTGGACTGCGAAGGAGGCATTGAAGGACCTGAAAACGTACCAAACGCATCTCACTCTGCATACAGGAAAGACGCTCTCAAAGGCAGATTTCGAACATGACGAAGCCTACGATATTTGGAAAAAGGCTGAAGCTCCAGATTTATCCCAGATGATGCTAGCGATTATTCAATCCAACCCAGAGCTTGCGAAAAGCACCCCTGGCGGAGGGTTGCCACAGTTTAACGATCCACATTCCGAAATAACAAACACTTCGGATAGCTCCTCCTATGTTTTAAATCAGCCGGTGGATATCGCTGCTTTATCCATTTCTAATGACGAACAACAGCTCGACACTGGAGATCTCTATACCTTCATCCCCCCAGATCCAAGGTCATATTATCGGTTTATCTTGGCCCAGGCCATTACTCACGATCTGCATGACCGGGCTTTGGAACCCTCTGAGGCCACTTCAGAAATTCCAGCAATGAAACTCCTTTCGAAGCGATCAACCGAGCTTCTCAATGAACTAGGCCTACGCTGGCGGATACCAACCTTCTCGCGTGCAGCTTTATTCTTGGACGTGTTTGGTTCTAAATATGTTGAGCAGGAGGTAGATCTTGACACCCTGGATTCGGCCTTCATCTTTGTTAAAGAGCCTCCCCCAGAAAAGAATAAGCGGACGAGTTTTGTTGCTCCAGTGTTTTACGATAGGAACAAATGGACGCGGGCCGACATTTGTACTATGCAGCGAGTTCTTTCTTCTATTCATAATGCCCTCCTGAGGCAGTTATACGAAACGATGATGCACTGCTACGACAGCAAAATCCCCCCACTCGCTCCAGTGTTATATGTACTTGAAAACCATGTTGAATCGGACCCCAATTTCTCACCAAATTCGGAGGATCAGGAGCAATTCCAATCCTATGCCTATGAAGGATTACTAGGAAAAGCAAAGGAGGTCTATCAAGACAATCTCAACAAGGAAATCCCACCTGATCAAGAGATATGGGAGTTCTATCATGTTATACAGTTGAGCAAGGCGATTATGAAACTTTGTCAGAGAATTCAAAAAAGATATAAGAAGAATCCGGAGATTATGGGGTAAGCAGTCTACCTGATCATTGCGGACTAAAGCTGATTTTGAAAGTGTCAACCTTCTCACGGTACTCGTAAACTGCGTCCTTCCTATGTTTGCTGAAGATGCGCAGGACATGATCCAGAGAATTATGCAACAAGCCAAAGATAAAAATGAAGAAATTGAAGTCCAAGATGGATTCGATCTGTACAAGGAGTTGTCAGAAATGCGGGGCATTTATATGCAAGCGCTTCCAGGGTGAGTATAGGCGTTTGCTTGTTTCAGGCAAATATTGTACGGGAACGGAACAAACTGACCAATATTATAGGGAGCCCTTTCCTATACCTCTGGAGCAGCTGTTGGCTGACTTTGTTTGGCGTTGGATTCAACTGACTGATGAAAAGATGCTTGGCTGGGTAGAGCAGGCTGTCAAACAAGATAATTTTATGGTCCGGACAGAGTCTCCTGATGATGTACCCACCGAAGAACAGCGACACAGCGTGTCAGTGATTGATATTTTCAGATCATTCAACCAAGTTGTCAATCAGATAGTCGAGTTAAAATGGGACGATGATGTGGGATATGCAAAATTTATGACCGCTATATCAAAGTCCATCGGCAATGGTCTTTCGAGGTATTGTGAAATCCTCGAGCAAGCGTTTATTAAAGAAATGGACCGGCCTACGCCAGAACAAGAAGCAGCTGCAAGGCAAACAAAACAGGAGAAATGGATGCAGATGGCAAAGGAGGCCTGGAGCAGTAAGGAGAAGGTGGAGCCATTTCACTTTTTCCCAGAAGTAAGTCTCTTGGATCGCTATTATGGTTATAGTACTTACGGTTTATGGTTCAGTCGTTCGTCAAGCTCAACAACATCGAATATGCATTGCACCAACTAGATAAGCTGGAAAAAGAAATCAACGTTGATGGCTGTGCAGAGGTTCTTGCAAAGCATGCTCCTCCAATCACCAAAAAGCAACGCAAAACCACAAACTATGTGTTCACCGTGAAAATTGTCGAGGCAGAGGATCTGAAAGGATGCGACATGGACGGTTTGAGCGACCCATATGTGGTATTAACCGATGAATACCAGAAGCGTATCTATAAAACCCGTATAATTTACGATAACCTCAATCCAAGGTGGGATGACAGCGTCGACATCATGACCAAAACGCCTCTGAATATCATTGCTACGCTCTGGGATTGGGACGCCGTTGGGGACCACGACTACGTTGGACGCACGTCCTTGAAGCTTGATCCAGCGCATTTCAGTGATTTTGCACCCAGGGAATACTGGCTTGATCTTGACACTCAAGGTCGGCTGCTGCTTCGGGTTAGCATGGAAGGAGAGCGAGATGACATCCAGTTCTATTTTGGCAAAGCGTTCCGAACGCTGAAGCGAACAGAAAGAGAGATGACCCGTAAGACTACGGAGAAGGTATGTCGACACCTTTCCTAACATGTGTCAAGGTTTTGTATTAACACGGCCATAGCTATCCGCATATATCAACCACTGTCTGTCACGTCGAGCATTGAAAGCGTTACTTTCAAGAGGGCTTAGTATGTCTAGCGTGTCCAACTACTTCAACAGAAACCGAGCACCGACCAGTCAAGCCCCGACAACGGCCGACATCGAAGGAGCCTTACATCCTCTTTTCACATACTTCGATGATAACTTCTACATCATGGCCCAGACACTCGCCCCAGATGCAATGAGGCCAGTCATGGCCCGGCTGTGGAAAGAAGTCCTCGGCACGGTGGAGGGTCTTCTCGTCCCCCCGTTATCCGACAAACCCTCAAACCAACGCCCTCTGACCCAGCAGGAAGTGGATATTGTATCCCGCTGGCTCACTCTCCTTCTAAATTTCTTCAACGCCGTCGATGAAGAAACGGGCGAAGCGAACGGTGTACCTCTGGATATACTAAAGTCACCGAAATATCACGAAATCCAAACCCTCTTCTTCTTCTACTTTGAACCTACAGAGCATCTAATCCGAACCTCCGAACGCATGGCAAGCGCTACTGCGGCCCGCCAACAAGCAAACCGCAACCGACTATCAGTCACATCCGCCTCCTTCAGCCCATTCGCCGGCGTCCCATCGACGCGCCGCGGGAAGAGCATAATGTTCAAGCGGAATCTTGGTACGATGAAAAAGGCAAAAGAGGAAAAATGGCGCGAAGCACAGGCCGAACCGAATGACGATATGATCCTGAGGATCCTGCGCATGAGGCCTGAGGCAGCCGGGTATCTACGGGACAGAAGTCGACAGAAAGAAAGACTTGCAACGGCCGCAGCGGCAGATCTGATTGTCAAGCAGAGCCTAATGGCAAGCGGTGGTGGACGAATGAGCGGTATGTTGCCAAGGGGATAAGTTTGTTGGATGGTCCATTCAACTCCTTTGTCACCTTTGAGATGCGGATCTTTTTTTTTTTTTACTCCAAAGGGTGTTATCAAATCAATGCTCAGCGCTTCCTCGCATGATATATGCGTGGAGTATGCAGAAAGGGCTTTTTTGGGCGAATTGATTTCGTTAGTATTTTCTTCTCCCGTCGTCAATTGAGGCTTCACTTCCGATGCCTCATCTCGCGCTCTAATCTCGTTTATGATATCCAGGTAACAGCGGGTTGCGTCAGGGATAGGAATGTTTCATAGCGGGTTTATGGTTATGATAGTAATGATATTGATATTCTTTTCAACCAGGAATTGGTAATTCTGTGGTCCCGTCTGTAATTTGGGCGCAATATATGCTCTATATACATTTATTGTATTGTAATTTATTTTTCACTCGCAGACCTCCTTTTGTATATGCACAGCAAGAAAGGAAACGACCAGGGGCATAGCCAGGTTGTCCCTTTTTACGCCAACGCGATACATTCGATCTCGACAGGAACTCCCTTTGGAAGTTGGTGCACAGCGACACAGCTGCGAGCAGGCTTATGCGCGAAATACTTCTCAAACACGCCGTTCATCTCAGCGAAGTCGCCCATGTCGATGAGGAAGACCTATTCCAAGTCGCTGTCAGCCCATTGGTCGAAGCTCAGGTTACGTTAAACGTTTGACGGTGGCCCAATTGATCTCCAATGGTGAAACCTACATTGACCTTGACGACCTTCTCGATCGACGATCCGGCAGCGGCCAGGACGGCAACAACATTCTTGCAACATTGTTCGGTTTTCTGGGCCACGGAGCCGTCGATGAGGTCGCCGTTGCTGTCAGCGGGGATTTGGCCGGAAACGTAGATTTGGCCATTGGCTTTGATGGCTTGGGACTGATGTGAGAATATTGGGTCAGAGATTCGTCCTCCAGGTCCACTGAGGGAGAGAAGCATACGTATGGGCCAGCAGCTAACGGTGCACAAGAGCGTCAGACAATCGAACATAAGCCATGTTTCGCCTTGGAGAATTGAAATACTTACGAGGACAAGCGTCCTTGGTAAACACCTTGGTCATATCAGCCATTGTTCGTAGAGACTGGGGAGCGATTGAACGTTGAAGAGTAGGAATTAGCGGGCGAAAGTAACAAGTCTTCAAAGGCAGGCTCTGGAACAACCGGCGAGGAACAAGGCCGCTTTTAAGCATATCACGCTCACCGTCTCAATGGCAGAAGGGCGGTTGGGAATTAATAATGACACCGGTGACGATGAGGGGCTGATCGCGGGGATGAGGGGCCGCCGATTATATAAGCCGGGGATTCGGGCGGCTAGGCCAATAGCGGTTTAGCGGAGACAGTGACTAAGCGGCTGTTCCTTCGTTAGCCGTCGGGAAAGATCGTCACGGGAAACACGCTGTTTCAAGCAGATAACTAGTAAACAGAATGTCGGATTTCTTGCATGAACCGGCGGCTGTGGCTTCAGGTTCTGGGCTTCTGGACAGTCCAGGGGCCACAGTTATCCCCATCATACTTGATTGCGCAGGTAGACAAGGCCAGGATCGCCTAGGAAAAAGGTTTGTAAGCCCTGCAACTCTGGGCGAAGAAACGGCTCAGGTTCTTTGGAGATCTGTATCCTGGTGTCTCCCTGCATTCTTCCAGCAATTGGATCTCATTATTGACGCTCCATGTGTTGTGAGCGCTGAAGAACCCTTTCGTCTGATCTGATCTTATCAGCCGGCACAAAGAAAATCCGCTCACTCGCCTGTCTTGGCATGGGATCCCTCCGGTCCAATCACACGCCTCGGTCTCAGAGATTCTTCGGAAATCTGCTCAATTGTCCTCAATGCCTGCCAGTTGCATGCAGGCCATGCGGCGTCCACGCTTGTGGCTTCAGACTGTCCCAGGAAACGGGATTGCTAGCGAGCATTGCGTGCATGCAATTGGCAGAGTCCCCGTATTGCTTCATTGGCGCCATGCAGAAAAAGCGTGGAGAAGGCCCTTGAAGCGGTTTTGCCATGGTAAGCTCTCAGGAAGCGAGATGCTGCGAGAGTTGTCGTTAGATATAAAAAAGCTCCATGCTGCTTCGTACGAATGCCCTCCTGGTTTTCTGATCCTCTGCCCCGGGTGCCCTGTTAACGGATTTCATCTTCGTTGCTTAAACCACTTCCCCGGAATCCGAGACCCAGCAAAGCTATAGTTAGCAATTTGCCTTTTGAGTCTGCAAGTTCTTCAACAATGGCCTTCCTTCTCCTCTTTCTCTCTCTTCTCCAGCTGGCGACGGCTCATTTTCACGTCGACTACCCCTACTGGCGAGGAAACTCGTTCAAGACCCAATGGGAAAGGCCCTGTCAGTAGACAATCATGCCAGCCCAAATCCCACGGCGTACTAACACCAACCCCAGGCGGCGGCGTCAATGTAACCACCAATCGCACTGAATGGCCCCTTGACGGAGGCTCACTCCTTTTTGCACCCTCCCACCCGTGGGCGATCACATATGTCAATCTCGGTCTTGGAAGCGACGACACCGTCATCTTCAATATCTCCCTCGTCGAAGCGTTCAACCAGACTGGCAACGGAACACTCTGCTTCCCGAAAATCACGATTCCAGAGGGCACGCCGATATCCGCAGGGACCAACGCCAGTATCCAGGTGATTCAGCTAAGCGAATTAGGATCTGCTCTGTATAACGTATGAAGGATATCCGTTTATATGCAGACGAGAATGCAGCTAACGAAATGCCGTTGCAGTGCGCCGATATCACCTTCTCCGACGATGCAGAATTGCTCAGCTCCGATCAATGCAAGAACTCGACAAATGTTGGCTGGAAGCCACTTGGTGCTTCGGGGACAACTGGTGATTCCTCTTCGACGGGTACGGCCGCTACACCGACCAACTCGAATACTGCCTCTGGGCCAATGACTGGAATATGGACTTGGACCTTTGGATTTGCTGCCTTTATGCTTAGCTTGACAAGTACCTTCCTGTAAGCGGGTTCGAAGATATCCGGTTTCGTTAGTCTTTTCTTGTGCCTAGGCGAACATCTTAACAGCAACTTAGGTGGGAGTATGTTCTTTGGGGTGAATATAGTCATTATTCGATTCTCAAAACTGCCAATTATAAATAGTTCAGCAAAATTCACAGTCCCCCCATCCAGATCGGGGTAAACATTAATCAGATACAAAGGGGCAATTGCCAGAATGGACTTGCATCTTTGATATCACTTCCTGAAAATAGCACTAAAGGGGGAAGGACCCTGATCTCCGTATAAGCAAAACACATACCAAGATATGAAAACACCCAACGTCTCATCCCGATAATATCAAATAAACCCAGCTGGCATACTCCGCAACAGCTATCAAGGATGCAGCTTGCACCCAACACAAGGCTCTGGGGGCAGTGCACTTCCATATATATCGGGTCTTGGTTCACCAGAGACATTCAGGTACCCTACTGCACCCTTATCCATACGGAAAATGGCATGGTCCACGAGAGCATATGTCCCCGGAACAACCATCTCCATATCAACGATGGTAGCAGAGCCGGGAGGTACGGAGACAGTCTGGATGCAGTTTCCAGGCGGGCTTATCACATCGCCCTCACGGTAGACCTTTTCGAAATTGCTCCCGATAATGTGGAAAGAGCTTGTTAAATTCGGTCCGGCATTCCCAAAGAAGATGCGCACAGTTTCATTGGTGTTTGCCTTCAGAGGCTTGTCTCGAGTCAAGGCAGATTCACTGCCGTTGAAGACTACTACATTCGGTTCCTCGCGCAATGCATTCGGATAGGAAAACTCCACGATAGGCGAGGGTCGGCCGTCGTCGTCAACCTCTGGAGGTTCGTGGTAAAATTCACTTTGCAAGACGAAATATTCCTTGTCTACCGGTGGGAGGTCGCCTTCTGCTGGCTGCACGTATATCATCCCGTACATGCCGTTCGCGATGTGAACCGGTACTGGCGCCGCTGCACAATGGTAGACGTATAGTCCGGGGTAGAGAAGTCTAAACCGGGCTGTTTTGGTTTGATTCTCCTCCACCGTTGTCAGTGCTGACCCGCCTCCTGGGCCGATGAACGCATGACAGTCGATATTGTGTGGATTCCCGGAAACATCTTTGTTTGTTATTGTCAATTCCAAGACGTCGCCGGCTCGCGCTCGAATAAACGGCCCTGGAACCGAATCATTAAAGGTCCATGTTTCATATTTATATACGCTCGTGAGCTGCGACAACTTAGTAGTCGTTTTTAATGGGACCTGAAGCAAAACTGGGTAGTCTCGAGTGATCGGTGGAGGAACGAACGGCGCCGTTGTGAGTATCGCCTGCTCCACAGGGAATTGTGAGATGTCTACTGGTGCCTTTCCAATAACTTCATAGGGTTTGGGAACTGCATGATCGGTTTCCGTATCGCCCGCCGGCACAAACGAGAGGGACCGCCCGGTAGACGTTGGCCCTGGTGACTCCACAGGAAAAGGCTTTTCTGCCGAGTCATTGGGTGGTACCGGTTTACCTGAAGTTGGTGCAGGGCTTGGATTCACAGCGCCGGTTTTCTTTTTCGGCCCCCAGTCCATTCTCACAGTGTCTGGACGCCGCCCATACCAAAGTATCGCCACTGCGGCGGAGCCAGACAGCGTTAAAGCAAAGGCAAGCATGGCACGGTTTCCATTTTGACTGCTACCACTTTTCGGGGAGCTTGTTGTATACAGTCGTGGTTGGATCCGAATAGGCATGCGACAACGGGGGGATGTGGCCAAGAAGCCAGTGGAAGAAAATGCCACTCCTGATAGAGATTTGCCCTTGAGTCTACTCAAGGAAGACCTCAAAGGGCCCCGTAGATAATGCGGCCCGACATTCATGATTTTTGAAGTAAGATAAAACAGTGACCTCCGGTCCCAGGCCAAAAGGGAAGGACGCACTCGAAAGACAAGGCAACAAGCCAAAAGTTAGACTCAGACACCGGAGTGGCTTTATAAAAAGGAAGTGAGGGGGTCCTAGTCGGACAGAAACCTGCCCAAAAGCAATGTTATGCCGGCATCAGCCGTGCCTCTCTGGTAATTTCAATGCTGGTTTTGCTGATCAGATATTGCGGTATTGACGGCGCCAAACATGTGATTTCGAGCAATTAAAGACGGCAAAGCATCGTATTGGGGCTGTACGGAGCTCCAGGGCATTGGAAATGCCTGCCTCGCAGTGCTTCGAGGCTGCACTGGCGGTTGTATGTTAGAATGGAATATGTGATTAACAGAGTTCGTGCAACTGGCGTGACGTCACCTGTCTTCCTCCTCCGCGGACTGCATCTCCTGAAAGTGTAAACTGAAGCTTTTTGATCATTGTATATGATACCGCTTCGTTGTTGGGATGTCGCCTCCTTGAGTGCTTGACCCTGGTGTTCGGCACTTCTGGTTCTGAGGAAGCCTGGGACCGTCCTTGCACTCAATTTCCACCTATTACGAAATGGAAAGCACATCCAATTCTCCGAATGCTTGATCGGGGCTGGCGATCGCACATTTCTTGAGCAATGCATAAGCAAGGACTTTGTCAGACTGCTTTGGAATCCTTTTTGACTGCTCGCGAGGATTCGTTGCTCATTGGAGGAAATGGAGCACTGTCTCGCAGAACAGGGACATTTGGTTGGCTGCCGCACCGTCCACCAATCGCAAGCAAGCCAAACCCGCTTACGCCAGGTGTACGGCATGCATGAGTGCGAACAAAGCGCGTAGCCTGATCGAAGCGTAAGCTGCCTTTTCGAGATTGACTTGAATGGGGGCTGGCGGGATGGTGTTGCAGGCCGCATTCTTTGCGAGATGGTGTACTCCGTACTTCGTAACTCCGTTCGTTAACATACTCGTCCAGCTGTTAACTACGATAAACGGCCAACCTGGTCACTCAACAGCCAGTCATCGCCAGGCATGATACCAATCCAGTAGTGATAGTCAAGGGCACCAGAACTTGCTGCCTACTGACATACTAAAGTTCAAGCTCTCCTGTGTCCGGTACCAAGGCCTTCTGAGAGAAGGGCCAGATCTATCAAACGTTGGACATAAAGTGTCATCAGCCTAGGGATATCAAAGGTGGCTGTCGACCGAGAAGCCGCATCCGGTTAACCAGTTCGCGCGGCTTGAGGTCATCTGTCCTGGTGTGAGCTTTCGCTTTGGTAGACCAAAAATAGCTTTCTCAGTAGGCCTGAGCTCCAAGCCTGACAAAAAACAGCCCGAATCCCGTATCTCTTGTCTGCTGGTGGATGACGGCCCGGCGTCCACTTGCGTGCACGGGCCAACCCTGCACGTGCTGCGAGCAGGTGCATTTGGTCAGGCGAGCAGCAGCGATGGAACGGGCTTGCTTCTTACATTTCCACGGAGATTTATTGTCGAGAGGATCACCGGGACGATCTTTGGCTTGGGCGCCTTGCTGTCGCGAACAAGCAATCCCTGGAGGAGTTGCACCGAGTTCAAACAGGCTACAGTGATAACTGAGTGGTGACCAATTTGCATAATATTTCCCCTGATACGGGTTGCCGTCAGCTACAAGGTCAACAGAAGTTCTGAATCTGATTCTTCTTGCGCGGACCTTACATGATTCTCAATGCTAATCAATGGACGCGCTCTCAAACATTTGATGAAGGTCGCTGTACGACCGGTGACTTGGTGCCCACGTTGCAGCGGGATGTGGTCACCATAATTTGCCAACTTGAATAGAAAGCCACCCTGAAAGCAATCTCGGATAGATAGTGCCTCAATCCATGGAGCCATCCCTGCAAACCGTCTAGAATGGTAAAGAGCAGAAATAATAAGAAGTTTTGACTAGAGAATAAGCCGGGTATCATTGCTAGGAACAAGCTCAAAACTTATGAACATACAAACAGACCCGAAAAAAAGGGGGTTGCTTTATCTTGCAAATTCTTGCACTTTGTTATCATTTCAGTGGAGGGTTTTCGGTGATCTGTAGCAATGTGCCGTATAATAGTCGCCAGAAGTATGTGTCGAATAGCTAAGTACCGAGAAAAGCGCTAGAGCTTGCCGAGTTGACCTAGTTTCTCAAGGAATAGCGCAACTGACTCCCCGCTGTAGCCAAAAATAACTGGGCCGTTGAAAACAATGCGAGGCTGAGGGGAGCGGGGGCTTGAATCGGGTATACCTGCATGGGAAGTATCAGTTATATTGGGACGTGCTTCGTTGAACGGTTGATCCGGCTGCACAGGTTGCGATGATTCACTTTCTTTCGCGGCATGATGGCCAAATGGGCAGCGACCGTTCCCAGATGGGCTTTCCCCTTCGTTGCCTAACGGGGTAGGAATTGGATGGGAAGGCTCGACGGATTCTTTGACCTCCGACCAGTTGCTCATGGCAGCTGGTACTGGAAGCGAGGCGACAACGCTTTGGGCTGTCTCTTGCGCAATCGGAACATGGATTCCCCACGGTCTACTTGGGGATTCCCCCACCCGGACATCTCGTAATGAACGTTCAAAGTGGTTTCCCCGAATTTCAATATCGTCCTCGATGATATTGGAAGGCGGAACACCGGCGTTTGGCGACTTGTTACTGACATCCTCAGCCCACCTTTCAACTCTCTCTGCAGCTTCCGTCTCGTGCTTTTGCTCTTCCTCCGGGAGCGGTGACGAGGGCAAGTATGGTTGATGATATACCCCGAGGCCCTTGACCATGTTCACGACGTCACCGTACTTCTCGTCCAATTGCCGAAGATTCTGTGGATCTTTCTGATACCGCTGGATGCATATCGAATGGCTGCGAGGAATTTCATGCTTATGTTTCTGGAAAAATTCAGCTATTTCTTCCGGCGTGTGAGCGTTTAGATAACGAATCGGGCACCTTGAGGTTGCAGAGCGGGTCGAGCCCGTTACACAAGGTGGTGCATCCGGATGAAACTCAGCCTTAATGGGATCCAGATCGTTTCCACATTTCTCTGATTCCTCATTTACGGTAGCCAGGCCACCAGCGGAAGCATGCTCGTTTGACTTCGCGAAAGGGCAATGCAAATTACCTTTTGTCCCAACCGTGGTGAAGTCCTTTTCCATGGGACCTCCGCTATCAAGCTTGGCGAACGGGCACCTGCTGGACTTGTGAGACTCATCTTGTTGACAGTGCCTCTCCGCAACAGCCTTCGCAATTTCTGAGGCTTCCATTACCGCCTGGGCATCCAACCGACTGAGATAGCCGGCACCCTCAATACCCTGAACCCACTCAGTTGTATCGGCTCCCCCATTCTCACCCTGACGACCCATAGCATCTTGCTCGGAGGGAAGCTCTTGCGCCTCCGCCTGCTGAGTAGTCGATGTTTCTGCCAGCTGGCTCGAGAATCTCAGGTACTATAATCGTAACCTTTGTTAATAAATGAAATAAAAGAAAGAGATGAGAGGTCAAAGGTAAATCAAAAAATAATAATAATCAGATGATGATGTGATGTCTGTCACTGCTGCGATTTGCAGCTCTTGATCTAGAGCTAATCAAATTTTTCTCGTCATGCAAAGAAGCCACAGTACTTGTAGGAAGAACAAGGAGATTTCGCAGTTTTATCCATACCTCGTCATGGGCAGATTGCAGTCGGCTTCGAAGAAGCTGTTCCTGCCGGGTCAGTTGCTTCGCAGCTTCAAGCAGGGCGTTGAATCCCTTTGCCAACGCAAGAAATTGTCGCGATTCTTGCCCAGGCTGGGATTCCTCCAAGGTCGGAGCCATGGCTGGCGGCCAAGGTCCAGGAGGGCGAGTCAGGAGAAGGACGACTATTATAGTCCACAGAATGAAGAAGAGGAACGTTGTGTCTTCCATTTGCATGAAGCTTTTTATCGGCAAAGAGTGTGTGGTCCGTGCGCTGGTTCACGTGATGCGTCTGGAAGTTGACAAGGTTGGAGTAACGAAGGAATAAACATACAAGCAACAACAGCCAGGAGGTGCTATTGCACCGCATTCCTGGATTTGCCGCGGCAACTGGCGTGCTTCACTATGTTTTCATTTTTATCAATATCAGTGAAGGGCAGTGCCCTGCCATCACGAATCGGCAGTCCTTGGACTTCATGCCAGTAGCTTTCTTCCGGCTTCTACCCTTTGGTCTGAAAGGACCACAAATATCTGAAGCTCAATGATATCATGATACTTGGGACTTCAAGGAGTGTTCCCAAATTTACAAGACGCGCTGAACTGAGTTGTTTGTTAGTGGTTGTGGCATCCGGCGGTCAGCGCATGTCTTTAACAATAGAAGCGGCTCTAATTGAGAAGTAGTTAGTGAGAGACATGTCGGCTTTCTTGCAGCTGTTACTTCTTGTCACTGAAGCTAGACTTGTTGGCAATATGTGGTTGCACATAGGAAACAACGGCGCTTGCAGTTCCCTTTATGATCCAAGTTCGAGGGCTAAACCGATACATTTCTGAGCCAAATTAGGTATTCCATGCAAGCCTATTTCATTGCTCTTCAGCTCAGATACCGTCGATATTCAGTTGTTTTGCATCCTGGAACTAGAATAAACCAAAAAAGGCACAAAACAGCGAGTCAAACATGCAGGTAGTGCACAAACTCCCTTTGCAAAACAGTGGTACATGGTTGTTACCATTTCTAGGCGTTGTGTTTGTTTAACTAAAGGACCAACAATCCTTTACCTCCTGGTAGACACTGAAAACAAAACACGGAGTCAGAACTTCTGAACAATGAAGCTTAACAGCAGGGCTATCATACAAATCAGCCAAGATGTTCAGCATGATGAATAGAAGGAAGGGTGGATATTCTAGTTGGCTCTACATTCCATCATTAGCGCTTAAAACGTATTTGCATATACGGGGTAGAGGTTGAAAAGAAAGAACGACAGATATGGGATTTTGGTTGCTCATTTGAAGTTCAGCGGATGAGAAACTCAGGAATCGAGCTCCGTTTGGTTCCAAGCAAACAAGTGAGGCTCCAGGTCACACATTGACCAACAGTGCATAATAAATGAACTAAATTTATGAAGAAAGCCAGCCATTCAAACTCAGAATTTCATTTTCATTTCCCAGTCCAGTCCCGATACATGCGGGAGAATCTGGGGCCGTATTGGAATCCGGGCCGATGCCATCCATATTGCAGCCTGTTGTCGGACAACAGAATTGCTGTCCCACCATCTGACGATGGGATCGCTGATAGGAGCTTCCAACACATCCAGACCGTCATCTTTGAGGGCGACCAGCCGCGCAGTTGATTCATTTTCGGCCAACAAACAACTTGGGCACGGTTACAACCAGGGATTGGACTGGTGTGCTTATACCGTGGGAACAATGCGAAATTCAACGCCCGAACAAGGGTATGTCGCGAACAACAAGCACTTTGAAGAAAGGCGCGAAGAGTCAACCTGGATCGATTCATCTTCAACCAGGTGGAAGTGTGCAAAAGAACAGCACCTTCGACTTTTAGGGCTGCTGCAGGGGCCAAAGCCACGTCTCCGGGCGTGAAGCGACGGCTTTAACACGGTGTACCTATACTTTGCCCAGAGTAATTACCTCGCGGAAAGCGACGCGACCATCTAACATGACAACTAGCAGCAGAAACGAGAGAATGTCTGAGCAACTGTAGGGCAAAGGGCATAGAGATCGCGACTTCCCGCCGCTGAGTCCCGCTCCTTTTAATGATTCCTTTACCATACTCCGTACTCAAAGCGACAATAAAAGCTGGTCCAAAGAGTCGTTTGCTCATGAGTCACAGAAATATGACGGACAGCAGGGATCAGCAGGGATCGAACGCGGCCCCACAGAATCATTTTCGAATGTGCACAGAATCGATCTTCCATTTTGTGTGCAAGGGTTCAGAATGAGACAATTGTTCGATGTCGGAGCCACGGATTCACGGGATCTATTGGTCTAGAAGGCTTCCAAGGTTCCTGTCCCTTGTTATGGGTTTTTGTAGAAGGATGTGGACATGGAGGTAGGAGAGACGAAAATTCTCTGCATCATGGCTACAGGGCCGATTGCTTGAAGAATTATCGGCACCCAGAAAACCCAAGTGGGCTTCCATTGAGCCAGCAAGTCAGGCCATAAGAATTCGGCATGTGCGATAAATCCTTCACCGACCTTTTGTGGAATAGAAGTCGGTCCGCTCTGCGTTTGCACATGCAAGACCTTGAATGGATAAACTTAGCCGTCGCGAAAGGGTTGCAAAATATCCCAACACGCCCGATTTGAGGTCGAAGAATCGCTGATTTCTGAACAACGAGTCTAGAACGCGTCTGGACAGGATTGCCTGCGCGCAGGCTTCCTTGTCGCGGGAAGATACAACGCAGGACTGTTTTCCCTGGCGTTTTTATGATAGCTCATATGCAAACAGTGTGGGAGCCCACGAGAATCAGGACAGCCGGAAGGGTACCTACTTGCCATTCCCCTGCACCGCTGTTCCCAGGGATCAACTCAGCAGCCAACCATCGAAGCACGTCAAGGTGGTGTGGAATTCAGTAGCGGGGACGAGATCCAGCCACAAAGCTGAAGTTGCGTGTCTCCTGGATGTTCGGTGATTTGTCGTCATCTTCTTCCCGCCTCAGTGAAACAGTATCACGGAACCTTTGTCTTCATTTTCTGGATAAGCTAGCGGCAATTCAGGTAATGCAGAGGGCAAACCGGGTCCTGAAAGCAGATAGATCGTAGATAGCCCGGATATCACAGACACGGATACATGGGGCCTTGTCGTGGTACGGCTTTGCGTCGAGGGCTTGCGGGGTGGGATGGAAACATGGAGTGAAGTTACATGGCAAGAATAATTTTTCTCCTTGCAATCTTAACCATCAAGCATTCATATATGCCCCCTCGGCCTCCCAGCCCCTCGCGTTTCTCTCTCTGGCCTTTTTCTCCTACCTTTCTCTCGCTTCGCTCTCCCTCTACTCTCCCAAAGGCCTCTTTCTCTCCACAGAATGAGCAATCCCTCCTCTGCCCCCGCGCAGACGAGTCGTGAGCAA